AACTAATTTTTCTTACGTTGTTCATAGTATATACAATTTACAATGAAAACAAATCAAGTTTACAATTATTTACAAACTTTCATATCAAAATTTTATAATCACTTAGAAAAAGATTAAGGATGAAGCAATTAACTAATACCTTGTCCAATTTGTATTCAACCAATTTGATCGAACTCCCAGTAAAAAAATCCTTCTCCACAGTTGTTTGTCAATGATTTTATTGTACTGTTTCTTTAAAATAATTCTCAACAAACAGAAAAAAAAAATTCAATCAAAATAAATTGAAAATCGATAATGATAAAACTCATCAGCTATGGAGAAGACCGATTAGTATTTAATTTTGAAATTTTGTAACTGCTGAGACTTTTAAGCAATTGTTCCTTTTTAAAAAATGTTTTTCCCCTAAATTTCTCCTTTTTATTATTTAACAACTGTATTCTTTCAATTAAAACAAATAATAAAAACTTAAATAAGATACATAATAAATTAAAATTGACATTTTTACTAAATATTGAAAGTGTTGACATTGGATCCTATTAAATGTCAAAATATTGACATTTTAAAAAAATTCACTTTATTTATTTCCTCTTAGCATTCTCTAGCCTAGTCTGGCTAGTAGGCATTCCAATAACATTTGATTGAAATTTATAAATGAAAAATATTCCAAATTGAAGTTGAAATATAAACTTACAATTTAATGGTTGAGTCGATTTCATCATTATAACTTATAAGTTCATTATATTAGGGGTGAGTATGGTATGATACGGTACGGTATTTAAATTTTTGATGTATACCGTAATTTTGGTATTTGATTTTTAAAACATTATATCATTATCATATCAATTTAATTTGGTATGGTTAGTTTATTGAAGTTCGATGTTGGTATTCTATGGTATGGTAAATTGGTAACCATAATTTGTTCAACTTCGACTAATATATTCGTATAATAGAGTATTGTGACTTCGAGAATTAAGAAAAGGCTCAATTGTATCATACTAACATATTACACATGTAGAAATATTTATGCAAAATAAAGTACTACAAACAACTCCTTTTGTTAATCAATTACAAATTCAAATACATTTCAATCAAAATAGAGTAAGCAAAGTTTTAACTTCTAAATATTTAGTTTATACTAATACTAGGTTGCATATAATTTGTTAGTATTTTAATAATATATTTATGTAACTATATATATACTTCGGTGTGATATTCCATATTTCGGTATGTTATTTCTAAATATCAAATACCGTACCAAATATTCAAAAAAATTAAAATTTATGCCATATACCACACTAAATACCATAATACCAAAACTACAATATTAAAAATTTCAATATAACATGATATTTCGATATATATCATACCATCCACCCCTACCTTACATACTGTATTCGAAGTTAAATTTAAGTCTTCTTGATCCCGTACTACTCAGAGGGTCATATATTTACTAAAAAATGAGCCTTGTTGATCACCGTAAGACTGATATTTTATTCTTCATAATAAATGAGATACTTTTTTTTTCTTTGTACTTTTTATCAAATGTATTAACTTTTAGTCCTCTTTATGTCTAGTCCTCTTTTATTATTTTGGGGTGGAACCATCGACGTAACTTGAAAGTTAAGGACAGGAAAAGGTTTTATTCCCATTTAATTTAAAGCAAAAGACTAAAACAAGTAAACAAAAAGAAAAACGAATCTAAGGATATATTTATAGAGAGAATGGTTTCATATACCTCTTAATTTTATAATTTAGAGTTGACATATACTGTTGTTGTAAGCAGATTTGCCTTCTTTAAAATAAAATAAAATGATGGAGTCTCATTTTTTAAAAAGAAAAAATAATTTTCCCTTTTACATACTTAATATTTATATACTTTGAACGATACTACATAGTACATAGTAATATATTGTGGTATCAAATTTTAGAATAATTAATCAAATTTAACATTTTTAATTTAATATTGAGTAAATTTCTACTAATTACCCCTCTTTCCAAAACAAAAATCAGGAATAAGAGAATTACAAATGCGAAATTGAACCCTTTTCAATAAAATAAATTTTTAATAAATAATAATTAATTGAACTCTTAAAATTCTTGGAATATCAGATCACGGAGATATTGGTAAAAATGCTAATTTGAAGTTTTTGCAAACAATATGAAAAGGACAAATCAATAGTGACAAGTCCCACATGTGAAATCAATTATTTTTTAGGGGGAAAAGATGCAGTGTGAAATGCGTAATTGGATGTAACTTTTCTTTTAAGTAAAGAAAGAGTATTTTGTTCTCACTGCTTTCAACATAATGTTTTCACATTGACTTGACTCCTTTAATTGCCGGTCGTCAAACAAAAAATAATATAATAAGGTAAGAATATAGCACATCTTGATCGTCGTCATCAGCAATTTTTCCCAAGTTACACACACATGGGAGTTGGTTAGGGTTAGTATATTGTTTGAATATTACTCTACTTTGGTAGTTGATTCGGAGATGAATAATATAGATACTAAATTCTGCATATGTAGTATCATAGGATGTAAGTTATATATATATAAAATTAATATAATATTTGATTTGTAATTTAGAAATTCGTAATGTATAAGTTCTGATAGTAATTGTGTATAAATGATGGAATAAGTAATACACAAATAACTAAACTCCTCATAACTATTTCTTCATAACATAATACATAAATTTCCTCACAACTAATCCATATATTATTAAAAAACTCAAATAACTCTAATCAACTATCAAAACAACCATATGGTAGATAGTAAAATGCAATTCAAAATTATTGTATTTTTCTTAGAGCTTGTGTGGCGAAACTTAAAATATTTGTTTACTATATTGAAGCTGTAATAATTTGCGTTTTTTATCTACAATTTGAGAGCCATTTTTATTAGTATTAAAAAACAATTTATGTTTTGACCAATTTTTTAGAAAAGTGATTTAATTTTAAACTTTAAATAATTACAAAAACGACATTTACAGTTTTTACTTTACTATTACTAATAATATTCTATCAGAATCATTTTGTTATTTTTAGGACAACAAAGTCATTCAATTATAGCCTTTTAAATCAAAAATTACAAAACACATATTTAACTTACCAATAACATATTCAGACCTCATTTACTAATAATTTAAAAAAAAAAATGAGAAGCGAAAGTGTATCTATAACTAAGACTGATCATTATGAATATGTGCTATTACGTCTTATCAAAAAAGTTATAATCGATTTAATATGAGAAAAAAATATGTTATTCAAATTGTATCTTTTGATAATCTGTTATTATTTAAAGAAAATATCTATTTATTTCTTATTCACACTTTTTTAGAAAATACAACAAATATGATAGGACATATGAAATATGCGTCTTGTATTTTCTGAATTAAAAAATAATAATTGAGTGATTTATTGTTCTTAAAAAATGAAAAATAGCTTTAATAAACTATCTCTAAATTAAGTGACTTTGTTATCCCCATAAAAATAGAAATAAATTTTAATAGAATGTTCACATAAGTTGAGTGAGAATTTAACTCTCTTTGATGTGGGATTTCATTCATCATTATCACTAATTTTTGTCTTGATATATGTAACGCAAGATTACGATAGGTTGATGTATATATTCATAGTTAATGAGACGTGATTCTATCTATAATATGTGACTTGTTGAATTTCACTTATTAATAGTCATCAAAAATTTCACGTTATATATTCTTTTAATAATAATTAATTTTAACATTGATCTAATATTCTTTCAAGTTATATATTTTTTTAATAATAATTTATTTTAACATTGATCTAATATTATGTGTGTATCGATGTCATTATCATGACTTGTGATAATCCATAATGTCAATAGATCACATTAACACATAATTCTACTCCCTTCAAAACCATACCCTTAAATTAATGCTTGATTATTGCATTTCTCATCACTGTATATATATAGGCTTCATGTCAGAGGTGGACCCATGTTGACCAGGGGTGCATTAATTTCAGGAAAAAAAAAATATAAATTACAATATTATTAAACTGTACGTTGAGGTTTTTTCTTTTTTCTAATACGTGTGACTCGGAATCAAACTTCAAATGTAATTTTAAATGTAGAAAATATATATGGCCTAAATATATTTACAATCAGAAATTGTAAAAATACATTTTTTTAATAGACGAATGAATGTAGTAAAAAATTAAAATTAAATTATGTTATATTAATAATTAATTTTTTTTATGAATGAATGTACTCAAAATTTAAAATCAAACTGTATAATATTTAATTTTAATGTTCATGTTTAATTTAATATGAAGTTAACAAACATAGGAAAAAATAAGAGAAAGAGAGGAGAAAATTTAACTTAGAATAAAATTACTTTTAAGCTTCAAGCTTCCACTTAGCTCTGGAGAAGACAATAATAATAACGAGACATGAAAAAATTATATATGAAGAATTTTCGCTTTATAAAATCTTTTAGATTTACTTATTAATTTTAAATTAACTGCTACATATTTAAAGACTTAAAAATTGGAAGGGATGGGGTGCTTATAGCTTATAGCTGCTTGTGAGACTCAAACATAGGAGCACTTTCAAAGCTTGCTCGTTCAAGAGCACCTGAAATCACTTCACTATATTAAGATAATAAGTTCTTTCGACATTTTTAAATTCTTCTAAAATTTTATTGTATAAAACTAAGATGAATATATTATTATTTTTATTCACGTCTTGAAATCTTGGGCAGTCTCTACTTCCTGCCCTACATATTAATGCAAACACGCCAAATCCTCAAATACCGACATAATTTTATATCGACAAGCGTTTGAACAAATACTTGGTAGATAAATAAACACTAACGTGTGAATACATTATTTTAATTTTTTATTAGAAAATCTATGGACAAACGTGTCAGAAATATTATGGGGAAATTGGGACCGATTAGTGGGACCCTAACCCAATCAATGGGGTCTATATAGACAGTAGGAAGAGTACCCATTCCTCTTCAGCACTACTCTAACAAACAAAAAAAAATCATTCAAAAATGGCCGCAGCGAAACTGTTATTTCTCGCAGCACTTTTCCTCTCTCTGTCCTACCTTTCCGGTGCGGCGGGCAACGCCGCAGCCTCCACCAGTTTCATAAAAAGCTCTTGTAAATCCACTACTTATCCCGATGTATGCGTCGCTTCCCTTTCCGGTTACGCACAAGCCATTAAAAACAGCCAATTGCAGCTGGTGAAGACGGCTTTGTCCGTGAGCCTAAATAAAGCTGAATCGACAAAAGGATTCGTTAGCAAGCTGTTGAAATTCAAGGGATTGAAACCGAGAGAGTATGCAGCTATCAAGGATTGCGTGGAGGAAACGAATGATAGTGTAGATCGGCTTAGCAGATCTGTGAATGAGCTGAAAGGTTTGGATCGTAGCCATGGGAAAGCCGATTTCCAGTGGCATATGAGTAACGTAGAGACATGGGTAAGTGCTGCTATTACAGATGAGAATACTTGCACTGATGGATTTGCCGGCCGAGCTTTGAATGGTAAAATTAAGGCTTCTATTAGAAGTCACATAGCTAATCTAGCTCAGGTTACTAGCAATGCACTGGCCTTAATCAACCAATATGCTGCAAATCATTGATTAATTAATTAGCTACGTTAATTATGTTTAGAGTTTTTGAGCTTAATTATGGTTTTTTGCCTTTTTTTTTTTTTTTTCTTCTTGGCTTGTTTGGTACTCTATAAATTGTGAATGCTACGGGATGTTTCTTTCTTGTCCTTTACGGGGATGTATGTAGTATGTTGTACACAACTTATGAATATTAGTTAAGCATAATTCATTATGCGCTAATTTTGTTTTATTGAATAAATATTTACTAGTTGTATATATTACTTCTCCCACTTAATTTATGTAATTTTGTTTGATTCGATAATATTATGTTTGGAATTTTATGGTATAAAATAAGTTATATTTTTTTGTCTTAATTTATATGACACAATTTAAATTTTGAGAATTAAACTTCTTCATTTTGAATATGTATTAAAACATACAATTACATATTCAGAAGTTACCTAAAGAGTTCTATAATTCACAAAAATCAACTATTTACACTTGTGAATAAACCGGTCAAAGACTTACTCTCAAAATTAGATCTATCTCATATGGAAATAAAGGGAGGATCATAAATTATCTAATTATGAATAAAATAAAATAAAGTTATTTTAAAATAGTGAGATCTTATTCAAAAGAACTACTATTAAAAAAATGTCCGGCTCAAATCTGTTATAATTTTGAAAATAATTGTCTCAAATGGTTGTTATTTAAAAAATCTGAATAAAATTAATTATTCTTTTTCCATTTGATCCTTATCTTTTAAGATTATAAATATTATGGCATAAATAAAAATGTAAAAGAAAAACTCCTCATATATTTGAGACAAAATGAATATAACTGAAAAAGGTATTTTTCCTTTACTATATGAGGTTATTTTTGTCATTTGCACAAAATAAAATACTACTCTATTACTTTTTTTTTTAGTTTATATATATATACTATAATTCTTGTATAACTTACATAAGTTAGGTGGAAAGAAGATTATCAAAACATTCTTAAACTTTATGTGGAGATTATTGTTTTCAATCAATGATAGAAAATCATGAAATCAAGCGTCACTTCACTAGATTACTTGATTGCTTTAAGCATTAACTAATTAATTAAACAAAGATTTGGTCAAACAGGAGGCAGGCCGAAAAGGGCTATTACTATTTTAACTCCCACAATCCATTTTTCTTCATTCATTATTATATGAAAAATAGATTTTTATTTTTATTTATTCAACTTAAATAATTGAAAAATAGTTTATCATTTTTTATTTATCTTATCCTTTTCCTAATTCCTATTATTTCCCAGCATTTAAATATTTTATAATTAATAGAGATGATATACTACTATTATTATTATTATTATTTATAAAATATGTCAAATCAAATATAAATAAGTAAAAAAAAATTGAGGAAATACTGGAGGCAAAATTCTTTGAATAGATCCAAGGAAAGCCAGGTTATCGTTTTTGTCTATGACAAAGACGTGTTATAACTAATTATTGGAAGAAATATAATGGTAATAGTACCTTTCAACCACCTCGCTCATATATAATGAATGAAAAATGAAATGTGTCTTTCAAGTTCCTTTGTTTATGCATAACATTGAGTTAAGATTAATAAATTATAAATAGAAAATTTGCTGGTTTTTGGAACTAAGTGAGTTTAATTTTTTTAATTCATCATTAGTCTGAGGGCCATAGGAGAGATAGTATTTGTATTATGTGTGGTTTTTTTTTTTGTTTTTTTTTATACCCTCCTTAGGAGCTTTCACCCCTTTTGCTCTTTTGGTGACTCGAACTCGCAATTTTTGGGTTGAAAGTGAGGGGTGCTTACCATCCAAACAACTCCCTCTCGTCATGTGTGGTTTTCTAATTATTCGTAGTTTGAATAATTTATAAAATTCCATACATATTAAAATTACAGTTTATATTCTTTATTTATAAATGTAGATGATTTATTCAATTTTACTATTGTTTACTGTCTTTTCGGTTTTAAAAGTAGATGATTATTTTTTTTTTAAATTGAAAATTGACATTTTGTGAGTGATCAATTTATTAAGATAGACAATTATTTATCCTCAAATAATTCAAGTGAAAAATAGTAAACATGACAAAAAAAATTTGATCTTCTCTTAGCTAGTTACAAAGCCATAAAAAATAATATTGTCCGGTAATCATCTACCTTGACCCAATTACATAATAATTCAAGGGTATAATTGGAAAGAAGTTTTTTATAGAGTTTTAATTCAAACACAAGATGAGGTGAAAACAATGAACCAAACACTTGATAAAAATAAACTTTGTATTACTAAATCATACACTACTAATCTCTGCACTACTAATTTGTACCAAACGACCTCCTATTGTGTACGCTTGCCTTTAAAGTTAACCCTTTTATTTATTTTGAGAATAGGAAAGGTGATCGATAGCATATATGGTAGATGAAAAAAATAATTCGCTTGCTGAATATATACTTATTTCACTTTCAAAAAGGACATACCTTGAGATTTGCCTAATTAACGTGATTCCGCCTTCACGATATTGACATTGTGGATTTTTAAATCTAACAACTTCATTACAAGAGGCTGCTAATGGGAGAGTGTACCCAGTGGGTCTATTACATTAAAAATATTGGTCTTCAATTGTTGGTATTTTTTTTTTAAAAAGTTGTAATATACCGATCTCAGGATGTTAGTATATGTTTATATATATATATATATATATAAGTTACCCGAGTTAGGTGGAAAGAAGAACATCAAAACATTCTTAAGCTTTATGTGGAGATTATTGCTTTCAATCAATGATACAAAATCATGAAATCAAGCGTCACCTCACTGTATTACTTGATAGTTTTAAGCATTAACTAATTAATTAAACAAAGGTATGGTCAAACAGGAGTCAGGCCGAAAGGAATATTACTATTTTAATTCCCTCAATCCATTTTTCCTCGTTTAGTATATGAAAAATAAATATTTATTTGTATTTATTCAATTAAAAGATAATTTATTAATTTATATTTATTTTACCCTTTTATCATTTTCCAATATTTAAATATTTTATAATTAATAGAAATGATATAAAATAATAATTATTATTATTTGTGAAATATATTAAATCGAACATAGATAAATAAAAATAGAAGGAGGAAATAATGGAGGTAAAATTCTTTTAATAGATCCAAGGAAAGCGACGTAATCGTTTTTGTCTATGACAAAGACGTGCAACTAATTATAGGAAGAAATATAATGGGAATACTACCTTTCAACCACCTCGCTCATATATAATGAATGAAATGAAATGTGTCTACCAAGTTCCTTTGTTTATGCATGACATTGAGTTAAAGATTTAATAAAATTATTAGTAAATTTCATGGTTTTTGGATGTAAGGATTAGTTTAATCTTTTGTTAACAAATCCCACATTGACATAGGAATGAGAAATTGGTCTTTTTATATGGATTTGCCGGGCTGTGTTAAGCTCATGTACCATATTTTTATATGCTATATATCAGAGTCAGGTTCATTTGTCAATTTGTTGTCCCATTTCTGTAGCGGGATGATAAATTAGTCTTCTTATCCCATGAGGTAACTTTTAGAATTGAATTAGACTCATATATCATATCTTTACATTTTTTTATTCATCATTAGTCATAGGCTATAGACGTAAGCTTGCCTTAAAAGTTAACCCTTTTATTTATTTTGAGAATGAGAATGGGACAGCTGCTCGATAGCATTATATGGTAGATACAAAAAATTAATTCGCTTACTGAATGTATTACTTATTTCACTTTCAAAAGGACATGATTTGAGATTTGCCTAACTTGATTCCGCCTTCACGATATTGACATTATATTGTGGGTTTTTAAATCTAAGAAATTCATCACAGGCTGCTTATGGGAGAGCGTACCCAGTGGGTCTACTACATTGAAAATATAGATCTTCAAAAGTCGGTATTCCTTTTTTTTTTTTTAAAGTTATGATATACCAATCTTAGGATGTTAGTATATTTTTAATATATATATATATATATATATATATATATATATATATATATATATACACTTCCAGTGGGTCTACTACATTGAAAATATAGATCTTCAAAAGTCGGTATTCCTTTTTTTTTTTTAAAGTTATGATATACCGATCTTAGGATGTTAGTATATTTTTAATGTATATATATATATATATATATATATATATATATATATATATCCAGTGGGTCTACTACATTGAAAATATAGATCTTCAAAAGTCGGTATTTTTTTTTTTTTTAAAGTTATGATATACCGATCTTAGGATGTTAGTATATTTTTAATGTATATATATATACACATATCAGTCTATCTTTACTTATCCACTATACTATTTTGGGATGTCTAATAATACTTGTTCAGTTTATAAAATCAATAAATAATTTATCATATTGTGTCTACTTTACCCTTGTTAGATACTATTCATTTTTAATGTTTAGAAGACTTGTTTTTTTATAAGGGCACTTCCGACTTCGAGAAAATTACCCATATCATTTACTACTTAATTATTGTGCCAATTCGAGAGGTAGTATTTGCTTATACCGACCTTAGGATGTTGTAATACAGTGATCTCATAAAAAAATTGTTTAAATGATGCACACAATTTCTTCATCTTTTTTTTTCTTTTGAAAAAAACAGAGATTTTAGATATGGCTTATTCAAACATGTTTTTGAACTTCTCTGCTTACATTTTGCAAAAACAATTGTCGTAAAAGTTGTCACGAAGGACATCAATTATCAATGTCGATCGACGTTTTGAAGGTATATTGCTTAAAACAAATACGTTTTGGATATTATTGTTCTTCTTTCTAAAGGTGCTCTATTCCATACGTTTTGTATTCAACTTAACAAGGTATGCACACAATATTCAAGATGATGATTTATAGAGATGGAGTCCTATTGGTTCTATTAACATGACTCTGTTCGATGTTTTATTTCAAAACAGAAAAAATAACTTTCTTGATACGTCCTATTATTGAAAAATGTCACGATAGGTGAAATTGTACTGAACTTATATCAAATTTATTTTGTAGTGTTTTCATATGAATATTGTGTTTGTTTGTAAATATCTAACCACAAGTGCAATTAAATTTAAAATTACATAACTCAATGGAGTTAGTCGAGCAGCTTTAGAGCTAACTAAATTCTTCTATTACACTTGTAACTTATAATAGGTACTATTTTATCATTTAACCAAAAAAAAAAGTACTATTTTCTCAGGATTTTTTTTTAGTTTTATTAATAAGAATAATATGTGTAATAGGATACGGGTAAGTA